ACGCACTGGCTGGCTGTACTGGCGTATCTCATGGTCCTGGCAGAAACCGATCAGTGACAGCCTGGTCTTATTTCCCTCAGAGGCATGGTAGGACCTGAGCCAGCGCCTGCTGAAGACTGGAAAGACTCCCCGGCTTCCCTGACTTCAGCCCAAACCTGGGGGCCAGGTTTTCCAAGGAGCCCAGCACGCTGGGGTGGGGGTGCTGAGGAGAGCCCAGCAAAATGTTTTCAGCAAATTTTCACCCAAAACATCATCTGGCAGGGCTGGGCACCAAATACCGGCGGAATTCAGGTCAAATTCAGCAAATCGTTTCGGCCCAAAAAAATAAAATGGGGAAAAAATCCCAAAAGTTCATTTGGGGGTTTGCTTTGAAATTGTGTTTCATTTTGAAATTTAGCTCATTTTTTTTAAAAGTGTTTTTTATAAAACACCTGAAAATGACCCCAAATGAAAAACAAAAACAAAAAAAACCCACAAATTATTTTCAGGTCGAACAAAATGTTTCAATTGACCTGAAATGAATTTGTTTTAATGTTTTGTTTGTGTCCGTGAGAAAACCCGAAAACCCCGAGTTTCAGTTCAAATGAAACATTTTATAGAAGTTATTTTATTTTTATTTTGCAGTTTGCTCCCTGAGCCAAGCCCTGCCTGGGTCACTCGCTGAGCCCGTGGGAGGCTGCCCTGATACAGAACTCGGCAGCGTCTGGTGCTGGCCTGTGGGAGCCGCTGGTCTGGCTGGAGCTGCAATTCCTCTGGCCCCCTGGCAGTGTCCAGGCCCCGTGAGAGCAGCGAAGAGCTGCGCTAGCCGCACCAAGCAAGCAGGAGGCAGGGCTGTGCACTGGATTTAGGGACGCAGGGTCAGGTGTTTCGCTGTCAGAGGCAGAGATTCCAGGTCAGCAGCCAATTAATGAGAGGAACCGGAGAGTCCGATTCCATCTCTGGATGATTCGGTAACCGAAACCCTCCGTGTGCTGAGTGACAGCAATGGGGCTATCTCGGGGCGGGGGCGGGAGGGGGAGCCAAGCATATGATCTGCCTGCAGCGTGGGGGAGCAGCTGGGAGAGGCAGGGGGCCAAGGAGCGGGGGGTTAGTATGCAGCCGGCTGGCGGAGGCTCGCCCAGCAGGGTGACCAGATGTCCCAATTTTATAGGGACAGTTCCGATTTTTGGGTCTTTTTCTTATATAGGCTCCTATTACCCCCCACCCCTGTCCTGATTTTTCACACTTGCTGTCTGATCACCCTATCGCCCAGTGAGTGAAGGGCTGGCTGCTGCTGAATGAATGAATGAGGCGCTGTTCCGTTTCTCTGCTCCTTCTCCTCCCCAGCAGCTAACTGGTGTGATCCCTGGTACAGTTCGCGCCTCTCCCATCCAAGGAAATCCCCTAGGAACTCTGGACGACCTCTTCCAGCTCTTGGGACCTGGTTCCTTCTAGTACTTGTTTGAAGGGGCCCAAGGTGGAAGCAGCTCTCCCTCAGGAGCTGGGTGAGCCGCACTGGAGTGCCCTCCGCCCAGGTGAACGGCGCCTGTGCACGGCACTCTGGGACCTGGGACACAGGCCAAGGGCCACCACCCCTTCAGTCTCCCCCTCCAGAAGCACACGGCTCTCGACTTCTAATGGACACTGACAAGACAAAGCTCTGAACATGAGACCCAAAGAAGCCAGCCAGCCCCTTCCATCCCCAGCCTCCTCCCCATGAACAAACATTCTCACCGACCCCCCAGGGCCCTGCTGCCAGGACTGGGAGCCACAGGGTGGCTCTCACTCTGTGGCATTTCTAGGGCCTTCATGCCCACCGTGCCTCATGCCCAGGCTCAAGGACAGAGGTGGGGGGAGTGCAACAGTGACCCCTCCTGTGGAGTAGCTCAGTATTCTCCCCACTTTGCAGATGGGGAAACTGAGGCACGGAGCCAAGGTACTTGCCCAAAGTCACATAGTGACTCAGTAGCAGAGCTGGGAATTGAACGCGGGAGTCCTGACTCATGGTCACACGTCCTCTCCCAGGAGCAGATTACCTATGGCCTTTGACATTCTCGTTACAGTCACATCAACCTTGCTGCTGTGAGAGAAGCACCTGTGGCTACGTACAGACTGTGACCAAGTCTCCCCTGACCCTTCTCTTTGTTAAGCTACAGAGGTTGAGCTCCTCGAGTCTATCGCTAGGAGACAGGTTTTCCAATCCTTAATCATTCTCGCGGCTCTTCTCTGAACCCGCGGCAATTTTTCAACATCCTTCTTGAAATGTGGGCACCAGAACTAGGCACTGGATTCCAGCAGCGGTTGCACCAATGCCAAATACAGACGTAAAAATAAACCTCCCTGAGATTCCCGTTTATACATCCCAGGATGGCATTAGCCCTCTCGGCCAGCATGTGGCAGGGAGCTCGTGTTCAGCCGATTATCCAGCGCCAAACCCAAATCTTGTTCAGAGTCGCTGCTTCCCAGGACAGAGTCCCCCACTGTGGCAGTACGGCCGGCCGTCTTTCTTCCTACAGGTACATATTTACATGTAGCCGTATGAAAACGCATCTCGTTCGCTTGTGCCAGCTTACCAAGCGATCCAGCTCGCTCTGTATCACTGACCTGTCCTCTGCATTAGTTACCACTCCCCACTGTCTGTGTCATCTGCAAACGTGATCAGTGATGATTTTATCTTTTCTTGAGGTCATTAATAAAAAGGAGCGTAGAGCCCAGAACCAGTCCCTGCAGGACCCCACTGGAAGCCGACCTGTTTGGAGACAATTCCCCACTTACAGTTACATTTCGAGACTGATCAGTTAGCCAGTTTTTAATGTATTTAACGTGTGCCATGTTCAGTTTATAGCATTCTAAATTTGTAATCAAATGCCATGTGGTCTCAAGCAAATGCCTTACAGAAGTCTAAGTATGTAGCACGTGCCTGGTCTTGTTACATTGGGATGATCCCAAATTTGACCTGTACAGGTCACTGCTTTGTCTAAAAAAAAGTGCCAACAAAATAGAAATGTATGAGCAACCCGACAACACCAAACCCACCAGGTCAGCCCCGAGCGACCCCACGATCCCAAACCCGCCAGGTCAG